TATCAATATAAAGATTCACTACCTTGCACTGATGAGTGGCCAAACAGCCCGAAACCGGTCTGCAAGTATTTTTCGATAATTGAAAATCTATTGGGGCAGTTGTAGTTACAACTTCAGTGAAGAATCCTGCACTGACACCTGTCGGATACAATCCAACGCCCTTCGTGGTATCAGCCAGGGGTGTAGTTGATTTCTGATAGCTGTCAGTCCATTAACCTACATTGTAGGGAGTTGAGACATGCCTTACCGAATTGTTCTTTTAGATGATTTGATTTATAGCCAATCTTCAAGTATGCTAACTGACTATATGTGAAAATTTCCCAAAAATTTAAAAACTCTTTGAAAATCGTTTTACCTGCAAAACCACCAGCCATTAACATTCTTCCAGTAGAAACTGGCTCATCATTGTCAGATCTAGTCAAAAGTTCGTAGGTGAAAAAATATGCAGAATATGATGGTACTTCCCTTCCTATGGTCAACCCCAATCCTTTGAAAACTCCTTTCAGTCCTTCAGTGGCGAATATTTTACACAGACATTCAATAGGACCTTTGCCAACATTATTAGAAACCTACAAAAAATAAGAGATATCAGAGAAATATTTGAATTTGAAATCAATGATTTCATTTGACACCAAAATGATATGATGTATGAAGATAGATTTTTTAGCATTTCCGAATATTCCATTGGGATCTCGTAAATTATGAGAGATACGAAGATAGTTGAATCGGGGCAAAGTTGCACATTTACCTGATTAACAATATGCCGTTGAGAAAGTTATGAAATTCCGGGTATATCCGGAGATATCAGGAAAAAACAGAAATTTCGGAAAATTGTATTTATTTTTTTCTGGCTGTATTTTTCGAAGGTTTTGAAAATTAATTGCACTTCCTCATTGCCACTTTTTCCCTGCTACATAACGGTGTTTTCAGATTTGCTATCCAACGTTTCGTCTTCCGGCCACCATCATCAACTTAATTTTTTCTTAAGGGCGCTACATTGGATTCTTTCTGTTTTGGATAGAACCCGATTTTTTCTTTTCAATGATGTATCATAAGTTATTATTCTTTTTAGAAAAAGTGTAGATATTGAAAAAAAGTAATTCTTATCATAATAAGCTTTAACTTGATGTTTCTAAATTTGACGTTCAATCTGTTACACTCAATAATACTGTACAAGTCATTGAATTTTTGGCGAAAAATGGCTTTCACGAATGAAGAAAAAAGAGATATGATACACATTTATTACAAATACGATAGAAACAGTATTATGACATCGGAAATGTTTTCAAACTTGTATCCCGAAAGTTGACAACCACATCCAACTTTGTTCAAGTTATCGGATCAAAATCTCACCGAGGCTGGTTTTTTTAAGTAAGTGTGCACGTGCATCGCCGGAGTCCCGACCAAAACTAAAGTTTTAGTGGTTTTTTACTGATGAAAAATTTCTAATTTCACATCAAAACAACAGTGAAAGTGCCGCGAATAACCTTGTGAAGATGAAAATCAGTTTTTAGGCCTGAGTTAGTGATAATTTAATAATAACTAGGTCTAAATCGTAAAGTACCTGAAATTAGCCACATCTGGCAAAACAAATACCTAGATAAATAACACCTTACCAGAGGCGTACGAACAGTAATTGCTACATGCAGTTAAAGTTGTGAAATAACTGATCTTTTGCCAGTTGTGAAATTCATAACGAAGTCTGTAACTTTATTTATCCAGTGGTGTACCTGATATTCTTGAGTAAAGCATTAATTAGTTCATAGGATTCTTTCAATTTCACGAAAAAATTATGGATAAAAAGAAGTGCTCCAAATGCGAAGGAGAATTTGAATCAACCCAGCTCTTTCCCTGTGATAGTTGCAGAAAAAATCTGGGCACTATCGATCCTTGTGCCAATTCAAAAAGTCCCTAACACAAATAAATCCTGGGAATTTAGACCAATCAACACTTTGCCTTGTATTGAAAAAATATTAGAACTCGCAGTTTATAATCAACTCATTGAATATCTAGAAAATAATGATATTTTACTAAAATATCAGTCAGGTTTCAGAAAACACCATTCATGTGAGTCTGC